GAGAGGGAGGGAGAAATAAGGGGAGAGGAAGGAGGAGGGAGAGAGAAAGGGAGAGAGGGAGGGGATGGAGGGGGAGAGAGGGAGGGAGCACTCACTCCCAGCAGCACCACAGGGAGACGAGGTGGTCCCCAGATCGATTCCCCTATTACTGGTTGCTGTTTACCAGGAGAACTGGGGTCCTCCTTCAGCAACCTTCACCAGTCAGGGGTTCGACTCCTCCTGGCCCCGTGGTCCTCTCTGTAACTGTCCTGGTGGCCATCCTGTCTAAGGGGGCTTCATCCAGTCCCATGGTGGGCACTGGGGTCAACAGCTGGCCAGAAGTCATCTTAGAGCACTTGTGCTACTTAAGGAATCTCCCTTCCCAGGGAGTGGAGTCACCCAAGTCTGTCATTCCTAGCTTCACACTGGCCTTAGTGGACGGTCCCTCTCGAGAGCTGGTCCCATTCATCCTTTTCTTTTGACAGATTTTCCATCAGCTCCTTTGTTATTTCCTACAAATTAGCTGCCACCCGTTCCTTTCTCATCTACTTCGGAAGCAGTTTAAAGAAGACCCTAAAGTGGTTTGGAGAACACCTGTGACCTTGCCTGCCTGGGCTGCTCATTGTCAACTGACACCTCACTCTGGGGCCTCGCTGCCTACCCCTGCTCCACTTGCAAAGCAGTGGCACTCCTGGCAGCTGCCCCTGGATGACCCTGGGAAGACAGCTGTGCCCACTCCAGTGTGCCCACTGCCTCCAGGGAGGTCCCCTGGCGCCCTTTCTCCCTGGTGCTGCCTTGCTCTGAGCAGCTCCGCCTGGCCCGGGCTCCTTCCCTCCGTGTGAAACGGGCTCTTCAGCCACTGTTGGAAGCTCTCCCAAGCCTGAGCTGATGGGTGCGGACACCTTAGTGAGTGGGAGCCACCAACGTGACTCCAGCAGGCTAGTGGGACACCTGGGCACACTGGAGCCCAGGGCCCCCAAACGCATTGGGGAAAACCAAGTGGATTGAGATAAAATCAGACGGAAAACCCTGGGCACCACCTGGAAGAAGTGTGAACGGATCTGGGGAAGCTTTTCCTGGGGCCAGGGAAGCACATCTCTCACCAGAGTCTGGGCAGAAGCTCTGAATCCTCTCCCCCAAGAGCTGAAACTCCTTTTCAGAGTGGGTCCTGGGAAGGTCACCGCTCTGTCCCCGTTGCTCTTCCTACCCCTGGGTCCTTGCACCCATGACCAAGGCCCTCAGACAGAGCTGCTCCGTGGCTGGAGCCCAGCTGTCCCTCGGCTCTGGGTGGCTTCTGCACCAAGGTTGAGCCCGGGCCTTGAG